GCACCATCTAGTTCTTCTGGTCTCAGGCTGATGCAGGCTCTGGTTTATGTGGCCCTTTCTGTATCTTGGGCTAATACTTTCCTTGTGACTTTGGTGTTCTTCATTCTCCTTTACTCCAGGTGGGTTGGGACCAACTGATGTATCTTAGATGGCTGCTCACTAGCTTTTAAGACCCAAGATGCCACTCACCAAAGTGGGATGCAGAACATTTTCTTTATAAACTTTGTTATGTCAATTGACCTAGATGTCCCCTGAAAGCATGGTCCCCAGACCCCTTCCCCTGCTACTCTGTCCCTCAAAGTGTTTGGTTGTATTCAGGAAACTTCTTAGTTTTGGTTTAGTCCTGCTGTGCTGATTTCCCCTGCAGTGTGTGCTGTCCTTCCCTTCACCAAAGATAATTCTTGTCTACTATCTAGTTAGTGGATATCCCTTTCCCTCCCTCCCCACCCTTGTAACCATCAAAGAATGTTTTCTTCTGTTTTTAAACCTTTTCTTGAGTTCTTAGAATAGTAGTCTTATACAATATTTGTCCTTTTGTGCCATGTCTCTCATTCTTGATTTATCCTCTGGTTTTGGAAAAGCAATTCTACACAAGTAACTTCATGAGTATGGGTAAATAGTAGGTAAGTTCTTTGAGATCTTGTATGTCTAAAAATGTCTTCATGCTACTCACACTTGTAGAGTAGTTTGGCTGGATATAGAATTCTAGGTTGGATACAATTTTCTTCCAGAATTTTGAAAAGATGTTCTACTGCCTTCGGATTTTAGGGTTACTAATGAGAAATCCAATGCAATCTCAATTCCTGATTCTTTGGATATGACCTGCTCACTGTCTCAGAAAGCATTTAACATCTTCCCTTTTTTGCAGATGTTCCAATATTTCACTGTGACATCCTCGCTGCGACGATTTTGTTCATAGTGCTGGGCACTTAGTGGGCCCTTTCACCGTGGTCACTCCTGTCCTTCAGTTTGAAATAATTGTAATGTAATTTTTCTTTTTTAAATAAAGTCTTCACCTCACTTTCCCTGTACTCTTTTGATGTACTCCTATTATTTAGATATTGAACCTCCTGGAAGGATCTTCCAATTTTCTTACCTTTTTTCTATTATTTTCCTACTTTCTGGGAGGATTTTTTTTTTTTTTACAACTTTATTCCTTCTCCTAGTTTTGTTTTTTTCCTACTGTTATGTTTTCTACATCTAAGATTTTTTTTTTTCTGAGTCTGTTCTTATTTATGAGTGAAACACTAGAAAAGATATACAAGCTCTGTTTAAGTGGTTTGGACTTATCGACTGGCAGTCTCACTTTAGGGTAACTGGGTGAAGACTAAGTTATTTCACTAAGAAAAGCCAACATTTCAATTATCTTTTGGATCAGTTAGCTTCCCCACAGCAGCATCTTCTAACGTCTTCCCTGAAGGAACTGCCTTTCTGTCAGCATTTACTTTACAGACTTACACTTAATTCCCCTGTTCTGTTTTCAGTAAAGTTTCTTGCCTCCACCCTCAACTGGTCCAGCTTCTTCACAAATAAACCTCTACCATTAGCTTTTAAGTGCCAATTTCAAAGATTCACTACTGTGTATATGAGGATGCAACTGTTACTTAGTGAGAGGAGTAATTCAGACAATAGGGATTTGAGTCGTAGCTCTGTCACATTTTATCATTGCATAAACTCAAGTCAGTAATTTATCTGGGGCTCAGCTTCCTCATGCTAAGGGTAATACTACCCCTTTAGGGTTGTACTGAGGATTAAATGGCATAATGTATTAGAAGCACTCTGCAAACTAAATAGCACTTCACAAGTCTGAGGCATTATTAATAAAAGCTGTGACATTTGGGCAGGTATTCAAAATGTTACAGAGAGCTGCTTTCTTTTCCCAGACTGCTCTACTTGAAAATGAAAAGTTAATTTGAGTGAATCATGCAAAGATATCGACACAGCTAAATTGGCTGCAAGCTTCTGGGGTTCTAAACTTTTTCCTAAAACCCTACAACGTTGGTTAATTTAGTTGTCTCACCAACCAAACGACAAAGCAACTTGGGAACCTAAGTTGCCCTTTTAGAAAGACAGTGGCTCTGGCTTAAAACAAATGAGATTGTTTTTGGTCTTGATGCTCTGTGTGTTCAGCAAAGCCAGCAAAGCAAGTAAGAAAATGAATGGATCAGCAGATAAGGCTTACTTTTCAATCTTGTACATCCTTAAAAAGAAATTTATACAATATATAATCTAAGCTTAAAGCCCTGAATTCTGGCTAAGGGCCACAGCAAGGAAGAACAATGAATAAGTCTAATAATCATTTTATTATTTCTATGTCTGATAAATACATTAATTGCATTTGAATGGAGTAGCAATTGCTTTTAAAAATCAGTAGATTCTACTTTGATTAATGAAACTGTAAATCAGATATTAAGGTATACGTGAATTTTCTGAGCCTTGGATTTCATACTTTTGTTTGTTAAGAACATTTAAATTGGTGTTTTAAGTAAAAGAAAAATTCACAATTTGATTCCCTTATTACCTACATTTGTACAAGTTCAAATATTGATTACAATATATGTTACATAACTCAGTGCCATAAACTCTTCTAGGCCTCCAAGCAAAACTGTTCAATCAGCCTCTTATCCATCTTTTATGAGTTACCTGTGAGGGAGGCCTTGCCTTGCTTTGGCTAACCCAAAACCTGCTGCTGTTGAGTCAATTCTGACTCACAGCAACCCTACAGGACAGAGTAGAACTGTCCCATAGGGTTTCCAAGGAGTCGCTGGTGGATTTGAATTGCCAACCTTTTGGTTAGCAGCCAGACTCTTAACCACTGCACCACCAGGGCTGTAGACATATAAATGCCTCTACCCCAATGGTTTGGTGTAGGAATAGAAGTACATTTTCAAGTTGAATTGAACTTGTTTTTGCAGGATTCAGTAATCAAGGATAACTTATGTCAGATCAGGAAAGTTTCTCCTATTATTCTCTATGGCTCTCTTATCCAGTACAGTAGCCACTAGTTTCATGTGAATATTGAACACTTGCAATGTGGCTAGTGCCAGGGAGGAACTGAATTTTTAATTTTATCTTCAGTAATTTAAGTTTAGCTAGCCACATGTAGCTGATGGCTACGGTACTGGACAGTACACAACTACTACATGCACAAGGAATTCCTCAAGGACTCACATTCCAACAGAAGAGCTCAGAGTCTAGAATGTCATTTGACATGGGTTTCCCTTCAAAGGTTCAGAAGTATCAAGGATCTGTACACAGAAGTGGTTGTATTTTGAGTATGTGTCAACTGAGAAAAGACACAATAAAAAAGCTAATAAATAATTTAGTAGAGATTTTAAATAAATGGGAACCTTATTAATGACAACAGTATCTCTGGTCTCCCAAAAGCAAGGAGTCTAGCTATGTATAAGATGTATTATTGGCTTCACGTATAGACAGGACTTGCTACCCCTATGGATGCAAGGAACCCACGGAATAGCTTCTGCACTCACAGGCTGGGAAGCATTGTTCTAGAGTGAAGGGAAATTAAAGAATAAGAATAGTGAGAAGAAAAATTCATTAGCAGCGTCAAAACATCTCATGACAGGTTAAGAAGCTCATAGGATGACAGGCTATCAGTTCTGGATCTAGGGTATTCTGGAAATACACCTCTGGAAGTGTGTGACTCCTCTTTTCATTATACCAATTATTGTTTGGCTTCCGATCTTACAGTTCTACTACTTAGGGATGTTTTCCTTTGAGAAACAAAGTTTAATTTATCTTTTAGTCTTCCTTGAAAAACTGGAAATTTAAAAAATGGAGACTTCTATTTAAAGAGGTGTGCATTATAAGTCATGCCCAGTGGCCCATTTCCTTGTCCATAGTTGCAGAATAGTTTGCTTTAAAAATCAATATCCTCGTTTAGTCACTAGATACAAACACCTCTCTGTAATGATATAACTAAATCCCTTCCCCACTGCTTTCTTTCCCTACCTCCATTTCTGCTGGAGGTACTGCATGTCACAGCCATAGGTAAAGGCTACGGATAGGGTTGTGGGGTGGTTAACCCCTCCAAACCACCCATGTAAACCTACAATCTAAATTAAAACAATGTGCTTGCTACTACAGCATGAAGGTAAGTCTCCTAGCACTTTAGATGGCTACCCCAAACCCTTCCTGTTTAGAAGATTTGGTGCCTTCACTGTCTGGCAGGAAATGGAGAAACTTTAGATTGTACAATCATCTTGTCCATATCTAAAAGCTGACTTCACATTATGGATCTAGAGAAAAAATATAATTTGTGATTCTTAAACAACTTGGTTCTAGGATGGCTCTGCTCTCAAAAGGTATGGATGGAAAAAGAGGAAGCATTCCTTTTAGTGAGGAAGTTAAGCCTAAGTTATTGAAAAGAAAATTAAATGCTAAACAAAACCTATATACTATGAGCTAGCTTCAAATAACATGCTTATTATTTCTTATTCTCAAATATTGATCTATTCTATGGTCCCACGAGCTCTTAAGATGAGATAACTATTTCAAGTTATTGCCTGAGATGGTATTAAAAGCAATTCCACAGGTACTAAACCTTGACATTCTAAACAAATAGGTTGTTCTTCAGAGCAGTGCCATACATCTGGCTGGAGAAAGTAATTGTGATGCAGGGAACAATGCCATGTTCTGCTCCATCACTTAATGATCAATTACGTTTCACCAAGTAATTCATAAGGCAGATTAGGTCATTCCAGAAGCCACACAACCGCTAACCTCTGCACGGCTTTGCTGACACCGTTAATTAATCTGAACAATGCACGTGCAATTTACTAAAAATCTATTTTTTTCTGCTAGTGGTGGTTGGGGGCGGTGGGAACACCCACCCAAATTCAAGACTGCGCATTGAGTACTGGCTTCCTTTTTTTAAAAAACAGTGCTCTACCAAGCAATGAAGACCAGAGATTGGAAAACGACCCAGCAAGCACTTATGGAGACAGATGTTGCTATCTACTTATTACACTGACATTTACCTGAATGAGGTTGGCAGCTGGGTTCCTTCTTTTCTCAAAATGTTTCTGGCGGTGCTGTTCTTGTACTTTTAATGCAAAACCTGAGCCAAGAATGCCCTGGAACAAAATATAAAAATAGTACTAAAAAAAAAAAAAACAAACAAACTTCAAAAGCACTGTTAAATCACATGAATATTAAAAAAAAAAACTCAATAAGCAGAGTTTGAGAAAACACAAACATTATGTAATCTATCCACAAGTATGTTACTTATTGAAACAAACACTGTCTGTCACTGTAATAATGCCACTGGCCAACAGCAAGTTGTTGGGACTATATTGCCAAAAATCCAACAACGTTTTTTCTCTAGTAAACCAGCTAGGCATGGTCATTTTTGGTATATTAAGAGACACTGTAATTATAAATAAAAATTACAACATTAAAAAAAATTTTTTTTGTGTGTGGCCTTTTTGGTGACATTTCTTTACACTTGAGTTAGAGTCAATGGTCTTATTCAGTGATGGAATTGATAAGCCATGAATTCTGGCTTTGAACAGAGCTAGGTTTTAAATTTGGGATTAAAAAAAAAAAAAAGTCAACCAAACCTGTTACTGTCGAGTCAATTCTGGCTCATGGCAACCCCATGTATTACAGAGTACAACTCCTCCATAGGGTTTTCTTGGCTGTAATCTTAATAGAAGCAAATTGCCAGGCCTTTCTTCCATGGTACCACTGGGTGGGTTTGATCCACCAACCTTTAGGTTAGTAGACAAGCACAAATCATTTGCACCACCCAAGGATCTTAAATTTGAGATACCAAAATCAAACTCAAACTCGTTGTCATCAAGTTGATTCTGACTCATAGTGACCCTATAGGACAGAACAGAACTACCTTGGTGAATCTGAACTGCCGAGCTTTTGGTTAGCAGCCATAGCTCTTAATCACTGAGCCACCATGGCTTTGCTGTGGACATGGTAGTATCTCAATTACTGTGATGAAATTATGAAATTTTATATTTTCATCCATTAAATGGAGGGAGAAGTGTTTAAAATCTGTCCCAGCTTTAATCCTCAGTGATGCTATAATTTTACACCTACCAAAATAGAGGAAAAGGGGGAGTGAGGGACAGTTATCCAGATGAGATAAACAGAGACTCGGTTTTGAAGATGTAGAAGGTTTTCTATTTTGCCTGTTTGTACAATAAAGATAAGAGCATATGTTATTGCAAAGCACATTCCTATGTTCTTCAGTTTTACTCTCACATTTTGAGCATTCTTTTTTGGTTCTGGCTCACCTACTCAGATTTTGGAGCCCTGGTGGTACAGTGGTTAAAAGCTTGGCTGCTACCAAAAGGTTGGCAGTTTGAACCCACCAGCTGCTCCTTGGAAACCCTACGGGACAGTTCTACTCTGTCCTACAGTGTCGCCAGGAGTTGGAATCGACTCCACAGCAACAGGTTTGTTTTTAAATTTCAGATTTTGGTGGTAGTAGGATTAGTATGTTCCTTCCATGTTTATATTAGTTTTCTGGCTAGTTTGCTTTCATTCGGCTGATCATCTCAATTGGCCAAAATTCCACGTCTTTAATATTCCCCCCCTCTTTTCAGTTTGCTTTGGTCTAACATCTGAGAAGCCACGACACTTTGTCTCAGCTTTGGGTTGGCTCTTGGGGCTTGCTAAATTCAGTCTCTGCACTTGGTCTGTAAGCATGGGACTTGGAGCACCAAAACTTTCAAGTCTGTAGATTTTTCTTGCTAGCTATAAATTATTAGTGCTTTATTAAACTTCAAGGCGTCTAACCCTTAGGTTAGAGACCAGTGTTTTATTAAACTTCAAGGCGTCTAACCCTTAGGTTAGAGACCAGTGTTTTAGAACTGCTAATGAAATATTTGCCATAGGTAAGGACTGGTTGTTTTTCTTTTCTTTATTTTAAAAAAGTAGTTTAACTAAATAGACAATAGATAAATGGTAACTTTGGTGAAGGGTAAGACAGTAAAAAAATAAATACATAAAATAAAAAAGCAGTTTAAAGATGGTATAGGCTGCCTAGGGAGGTGATGGGTTTCTCATCTCTAAGGAGGTGTTAAGACTTGGCTAGATGACAACTTGGCTGAGGTATTTTTGGGGTTTAGAAGACCTCTGAACTTCCTTTGAGATCCTACAATTCTGAATACATCTATGACAACAACCAGACAATGAGTAATATAATCATATTCAAAATACAGAATCACACAATAATACTATTTGCTATTAATGAACAATGATCCACTCCACTACTAATTAGGATAAATAGCTGCCTTGAAATTACAAATGACATCATAGGTTCTGTTTTCCATCTCTTTTCCAGTGACCGCCTTACTATGTCTAAGCTCTCCATCCCATGCAGGTTGTAACTGCACAATGATAAAAACCTGGTCTCTGTGATCTTGCTTGCAGACTTAAACAACATTTTCCTCCATTCAGAGGTTATAAAATGGCACTCCACTTCCAAATCAAGATCAACTCTAGTTGTGCATACTCCCAAATTTTTTTCTGCTATTTAAGATCATTTTAGAAAAAATGATTTTTTCTCTTAATGTCATTTTCCGTGAAGTATAAACATGTAAGGGAAGACAAAACATTAGAATTCATTGAATATATTTATAATACATCACACATATGCATATATGTCCACTTATTTGGAGCATAATTCAGATTTTGTAGACACTGAATTAATAGCAATAGCTATCATTTTGAGCACTTACTACGTGGATATGAGGTTCAGAGTTAAATCCCTTTTGGAAAATGAACACGGGCCTTACATAGCATAAATCTAGCATCTGCCAAACAAATGAAAATATGCTGAAAATCACACTGGCATTGCTTAGAAACATATATTAGTAGATGGCAAATGTTTGCTACATAATCTCTTGCGCCAAACTGTACATTACAACAGTTATTAAACTAGGTCTGCTTATTGTCTTGTTAGGACTCTGTTCCAATTTTCTTCTACCACTCTTAACATAGCTCAATGCAAGTCTGTTAAAATAAAGTCTGCTATGAAACACACACACGTACACACACACACAATGCAGCTTAATCTTTGAATATATGTGCCATCCCTTCACATATCGGCACCAGTAGATGCAAATTTTTACAAGCTGAGTTTTGTTTTAATTTATATTCTAAGATAATAAAACCTAAGTTGTTAGGTTTTAAGTTTTAGGACTATGCTAAGCAGTGCTAAATAAACACCAACTAGAAAGAAAACATATTTTCGTAAAGGCTTTATATTTACCCTTCTGTTATCCTTTAGATTAAATGACCTAATTTGTACCCCCCACACGGAGAACAGGCAATGCTGAAAGATACACTTAGCCATAGCAGGGAATGTCCTAAAGAGGAGGAAGGCCTGCTCATCTGGGCGATGCAGAGGAGCTGGGGCCTCAGGAAAAGTGAACTCCCTTTGGAGGAAGGGTGTCTGTATGACTCTGAGATGTCCTAGACAGTCCTTCTGCTTTGAAGGAAAGATGAGGGAACTTCTCTTCCTTGGTCCTCAGGTTTCCTGATGGGAGGAAACCCCAAACAGGAACAGCACACAATCCACCTCTAACTTTCTTAGCAGAATGCCATCATACTCTGTCAGCTTTGAATCAGACAACACTGTTGGTTGCCAGGATGCACAGGGCAGGATGACATTTCCAGCCACCTTGTTTTTTTTTAAAGGTACATATGGACCGTTTAGTCTTTCACTCAATCAGCAAGACCTCAGCACCTATTGTGAGGCTGCAGTCAAAAGATCCACGGTAAAGGCTACTTTTCTTGGCATTGTTAGAGAATGTTCTCTTCTGGGCAAGCAAATTTTTCAGATTTCCATGTATTAATTTAACTCACTTATTTAAAAAAATGTAATCACTTGGTGGGAAACCTATCCAAGACTGACTATCAAGTCTCTGACATGAATCTCAGCATATTGACACAGTTTAACCTCTCCACGATAGCCCAGATTTTCATTATGGGTACGGGGTATTTCACTGTTCTGGAACCAGCCATGCTTCCAGAGGTGGGTTTACCCTAATGCTACATTTCCGTTTCCTTCCTACAGTTTTTCTTCCCCCCCTCACTGTTAGTCTTTCATCACGTCTTCCTGCTCCTGTTACAGTATTTGCTGCCTCTGCACGTGCTGTCTGTAATCTTCAAAGCATTGTGAAACTATATAACCCCATTTACCAGAATTTTCTCTAAATTAAGAATAGACAATAAATTAGGTCTCAGAAGGCTCTCCTATAAGGCAGCAATACACTGTTGTCTATTTTAATGGCTCAGAGGTTGCGACTTCCTTGTCTTAGTTTTTCTCTGGATCACTGAAGTTGTTGTATACGTGGCCTCAGGATAAGTATAAACACAAAAGCAGCAGGTATTTTGTGCCATTCTTTTGGGTAAGAAACCCGAAGACTGCATTTTACTGCTTTTAAAGATATTGTATCGCAGGGAATGTAATTATTGAGTGAGTCTCTGCTTTGTTCTGGATTGCTAAGATTGTTAGAGGAGTTGACTCTGGATAAGTGAGGTCTTTTTATTACCCTCCTTGGTTTTGTCATTTCAATAAAAAACACACATTTCCAGATTCAGACAGGTAAAGGGAAGTAACATTTATTAAAAATTTTCTTCATGACAAGCACTTGACTTTATCATATTGGTCTTCACAAAATTTCTTCATGTTACTGATGAAGAAATGTACTCAAGGTCACATATGTAGTACGTGACAAAGACAGAATTCAAACGGAGATCTAATGTCAGGCTTATGTATGGTCTCTCTGGTCTCCTCTCTGTGATTTTCTGTGGTCTAGGGCAGAACCAGGAGTCCCTGGGTGGTGCAAACGGTTAACATGCTTGGCTGATAACCAAAAGGTTGGTGGTTCGAATCTACCCGGAGGTACCTTGGAAGAAAGTCCTGGCGCTCTACTTCTGAAAAATCAGCCATTGAAAACTCTATGGAGCACAGTTCTACTCGGATATACATGGAGTCGCTGTAAGTTGGAATCAACTCAACGGCACTGGCTTGTTTTGTTTGGGCAGAACCAGCTGGTTAATCCAGAGTTGGGTGCTAGCTATGGGAAGGACAAGAGTGTCCTCTGCACTCATTAACTGGGGAGAAGAGAGGCTCTGTAAACTAAAGCTGCTGAAAATCCCCATCTGAGCTCCCCACTCTCTTGGCTTTTTTCTGAGGGGTATTCTGGGGTCTCTGCTTGGTGGAGGCTGTGCCATAGCATCAGCTTGTGTCTGGGACAGGGGTGGGGGTTCTATTCTCCTTAAGTACGCTGCCCACCACCACTTTAACACACCTTTTGGTTGACTCTCTTCTCCCTAGAGTGGAGGGTACAAAAGTGAGAGATTGGGGATGGTGGCAAATTGGAATATTTGACCAACTGCCTTTAGAGAAATAAGAGGATAAAATGACCAGAAAGGCAAGCTTCATCTATTAAGGAGGAAATAATCAGAAGCTGAGGTGAAGATAAATGCGTACGTCATTCTAATAAGATGCAGAAACTGCTCATTAAGAAAAATCAATGATGATGACAAAGAATAAATCACCTGACATATTTAAAACATTAGATCACATGCTTTTCACTCAAATGGACCTAAAGAGGTAAATCTTTCCCTTGAGCACATCCATGTCTTTAGTAGCATACAGTATAAGCCAAATTGGAGCTAACAGCTTAAAAATAAAATGTCTTTAAAACTTTACAAACATTTTAAATGGATTTGTAGCATGCTGACTAAGAGGTGATGCCTCTGGATTATTATTTGGTCATAAACACCTAGCCGATATTAACCTCTCAGGTTAAGTGTCTCTAAGAGACGATGGTAAAACCCGTTGTCATCAAGTCGATTCTGACTCATAGCAACCCTATAGGACAGAGTAGAACCGTCCCATAGGGTTTCCAAGGAGTTGTTGGTGGATTTGAACTGCTGACCTTTTGGTTAGCAGCCAAGCTCTTAACCACTGTGCCACCAGGGCTCCAAGGGAAGACCACATCTTATAAATTATTCAACTAGATATAGTACTTAGAAAAAAGTCAACATTATATCAGAAAAATTATATTTGTAAATGATATAGATATATTTATAGGCATATCAGCGTGTGGACAGCTCACTCTAATGAACCGTAAAGACTTAATTCAAACTGTTTTATTTTTGCAAAGATACTCACGGCAGGAAGTGCAAAGAAAGAAATGCCAAGGAGTGCAAAACCTGCAGAAAGCAATCTTCCCAGCCAAGTGAGGGGAGTTTTGTCTCCATAGCCAATCGTTGTCAATGTAATCTAAAAACAAAATAAATAGAACATGCAACTTAAGTACTTGAGAGGGAAGTTAGGACCTATGAACAGGAGGCAAAGCAACGTTTCCACTAAATCATTATTCAACACTTCTTGTTGGGTATTTTATTACTGTGCTTTAACTTTCCATGACGCATAACAGAACTTGTCTTTGTTTAAGGAAGGGAATAACCTACATACTTGTTCCTCTCCTATAACACAATTTTCCATCTTTTCTAAGTGTACGGAAAGAAAGATTATTTAAGTAAGTAGATAACCATCAGTGATACAGAAATGACAGCACTATGGATTTAGAATTTGACCGTCAGTGTTCTTGTTCACTTGGGATGCTTCAGCAGCAGCTTAGTTTGCTCTTGCTTCCCTCGAGTTCCCTCTCCACACACCAGCAAGGTGTGCCATTTTCTTACTCCCCTCTAAAAATCCTTAATGACTACTCATTAGATTCATAATGAATTCTAAGATAACGACAGCCTATAGGAGCTGGTCTCTGTCTACCTCTCCAAGATCATCCTGATTTCCCCCTGCTCACTGTACTTTACTCACAGTGGCTTTTTACCTCCTCAAACAAGCCAAGATCTCCCCCGCATTGGGGCCTTTGCCCATCTTGTTCCCTCTGCCAGGATTGCTCTTTGCCCCAACTCTTCCCAGGGCTCCTTTTCATCTTCCAGGTCTTATCCAAAATACTCTCTCATCAAAGGCCTTCCCTACTCACCCTGTCTACAGTAGGGTCTCTGCTCACTCTCTGTTTCAGCATCTTTGTTTCTTTCTTTTTTTCCCAGCACCTTGGTTCTTAACAGCGCTTATCATAAGTGACAATATGCTGTATTTTTCCTTTACTTGAAGGGGGAACCTTGTCTCATTCTTTGTTATCTCCCTAACATCTAGTATGATGCTTTCCACAACGTAGGAGGAACTCAATAAATATTTAGTAAATAAATGAACCATTTCAAGAAGGTTGACATCAGAGTGAGAAATACAGGGCAGGGGCTCCCAGAAATCTCTAAATCGAAGGAAGGATTTCTAAGATGTATTTGTGCATGTTTGAATAGAGGGCGAAACTGAAGAGCAAGGAATGGTGGCTTTAATTGATGGGGTAAGGTGCCCAGGGAGGCAGAAGAAATAGGATCAAGGGTACAGTTTAAGGGTTAGACTTGGCTGTGTGAAAGGATACTTCTTCCACTGTCGGGGGAAGATGCAGACACAGTGTGACGCAGAGGGGAGGGTTGGGAATGCTCGTGTCGATTGCCTTCAATTCCAGTGAAAGAGAAGGTGGGACCATCCGTGGAGAGTGAGAGGCTTGGAAGATGAAAAGATTTGGGGCTGTGAAGATGTGAGAGGATGCCAAGTAGAAGTCAACAAAAGCCCTACTGGGATAACGAAGCTCTCTGAGGTCAGAGGGAAGGAATCTGTAGCAGAACCTAGTAGCCAAGTTACTTAAATGTCACCAGAAGTATACGGGACTCTCAAAGGAACTCCTTGTGATTGCAAAAGAAAAAAACATTCCAGGTTCAATTTTATTAGTGGTTCCTAATCTTAAATTTGTGGGAAAAATTTTAATCTACTATATTTTTTCTGCAAAGTAGAGATTAATCTTTTTACAGCAGTTCCCTTGGTGGCACAAATAGTTTGCACTTGACTACTAAAGGTTGATGGTTTGAACCCACCTAGAGGCACCACAGAAGCAAGGCCTGGCAATCTGTTTCTGTAAAGATTATAGACAAGAAAATTCTATGGAACAGTTCTAATCTGTAACATATGGGGTTGCCCAGAGTCAGAATCAACTTGATAGCAATGGGGTGTTTTTATTATTATTAGTAATAATAATCTGAAGGGAAAATTTCATGGTTTAGTCACAGCAAAAATGTTATATTTCATGGTTTTCTTTACATTCTAAAAACTGCATTTAAGTTATTCTGCTTGGCCGAGCGCTCAGAAAGTGGGTTTTAACCACTGTCTCTTATTCCAAAGAAGGAGACAACAGAGAAGTGATGCCTTCTTACATTCTGAATTTAGAGTTTCCCCTTCCTCTTTCAGGGGTGGTTTGGAGGGGAGAGTAGTATGTTGTGAACTCTGAGAGCAGTGCCCTGGGAGTCTCTCGAGAAGGGCAAAGACTCCGCTTACCTGTCTGCACTCTGGTTCAGGTTACTGTGATAACCACTTTTTGCTGAGTGCAGGGACCTGACTGACCAGGAGCTGAGTCCTCAGCTTTTATAACTTTTTCCACTCTGGTTTCAAAGGAATTTGGGAAGTTGCTTGGTTAGATGCTGAGGGGCCTTGTGTTGCCTGGCTAGGTCTGAGAAGGATCTGGTAAAACAGGGATAGTTTTGTCTCCCTCCTTGCCTAGGAGAGGGTTGCTGGAGGCTTTCATTTTCTTCCAGACCTGATTCCCTGGAGAGGATTGGAGAAGGTTTTTTTTTCCCTCTGCATTCCTGGGAGGGGGTTGTTGGGGATTTCTTTTTGCTTCATGCCTGGAGCACACATCATTTCACTTCTTGTGGGTACAAAGGAGATAACTGGGCTTCGTGATGTGAACATGAGAAGTAGCACCAATGATGAAGTTATTAAGTTTCTAAGATGTGCTTACAACAAAAAGATGTGAGCCTTCTCCAGGAATACACACTGACCAAGCTACTTGACCTAGCTGCTGACTTTCTAAGGCAATGACCAGCTGCATTCGATAAAATCTTGAGGTGGTCTTACCTCAGATGAGCCCTGCATAGATATTCATTGATTTTCTGGATTTTTGGGACAAGCTGTCCTTGATATAGCAGTGATTCTCCTTGGAACATTACAATTATGTTATATTTCTTTTCTTTTCCTAGCATTTGGAAGGCCCTGCTAGTGTTCATCAGCTGGTCCTTCACACATGAACCACGTAGCAGAAGCAATCTTGGTGTTTATTCTCCCACTGTTGTGCTAAACAGCAAACTCATTTCCACCTTCTAGAAATCTTGTGACTCTTTCAGTGGCTGACCCCAGGAATGATTAGTTTCATTTGGGTCCAGACTCAGAGAAAGGAACCTCAATGATACCAGCTCTCTAGGAACTCTTGAGGAACCCTTGGAACAGCAACTTGTTTCAGAGAACCTTGCGAGATTGCACAGGTGATCTTCAGGGGATTGCAAAAAATCACACTTGGACTTTGTGGTTGGATTGATTGATACGGCAGTTGATTTCTGGAAAAATCATCACAGATCTCCAAGAACATAGTAGCATCCTGATGGCATGGCAAGATCACTCATGCTATTGCATCCGTCATATCTATATTGCCTTCAGAGTGATATAAAGACTGTGAACTGGGCCCATGTCTAATAAGCAACAGGGAGTACAAGAAATGCTTGTCAAAAGATCTTAATCTCCCTGGAGACCTCTTGGGAGCTCTTCACCACTAGAGCTGAAATGAGATGTGGCAGCTGCTCCTACACTGAGCGCCTCACTGACACCCAACCAGAAGGACAGGTGGTGATCATTAATTACCGTATACAGTTAACACAGTGATATGGGCTGGCATAAACCTAAAGAGCCAGAATTGATTTTGGAAAAAATGAAATCTAATAACAAAGCATTGTTATAATTAAAAACAAATAAATAATGCACTTCTCCTAAAAGACTAGTCTCTGTCTACTGAGAGATACAACATTAAGTAAATAATATAGTCCCTCCTTTGAAGATCCTTCCTCATCCCTGTGTTTTGTAATCCGTTGCCAGTTCTATATGTGCACATGGCTTTAGGGTGCAAGGGTTGAGCCCAGTAGGTGATGGTGCTGGAATCAAACTCACTGACGTTGTTTATCTTGGATGAGCCCTGATGATGCCCTGATGAATGCATATAGGGTGGGGGTGGGTGGGGATTATGGCGATAATTATTGGGCGGGGATTCCAGATGACAGAAAGAATGAAAATGTGGTTGGTTAATGGGTTCTCATACTAATACATTTTTATCAAAGCATTTAATTCTCCTCTAACATATACAGCGTTAAAAGTGAATCACAATACATCAGACATTTACTCTGTATGTTGTTGTCGTTGTTGTTGTGTGCTGTCAACTCGATTCTGACTCACAGTGGTCCAAAATACAGAGTAGAACTGTCCCATAGGGCTTCCTAGCCTGTAATCTTTACAGGAGTAGATCACCAGGTCTTTTCTCTGGTGGAGCTGCTGGCAGGTTCGAACTGCTGACACTTCAGTAATCAGTCAAATGCTTAACCATTGTACCACTGGGATTCCTCTGTATAGCAGATGTGTTTTAAAGAAATGAGTTGAACCATGGTACAGCTGAATCAATGTAAAATTAACTTTCTTAGGAGAGAGTCCTATTATTCTTTGTAGGTGAGACGATTTTCTGATATTACATATTAAGGCATGAGAATATACAGAGAAGCCTTCTTAAGTGAAGCTCCTGTGATAGCTAGTCGGTTGATCAGAAATTTTGATTAAAGCAGATAATCACACTCAAACCACAGAAATCACAAAATACAAACATATATATAATGTTTTATTTTAACTTAAGTACATAAATGTACATTCATTTCCCAATATTCTTGATGAAGAATGTATTCTGCAATTGGGGTTCTGCCTTGTCTTTCTGCATGAACCCCACTATAATGCATCAGCTATTATTTCTTAATTTAGGGGAGCAGGAACTTGACTTTTGTGATGTCATCTGAGTGCAGAATCCTAGATATTTTGGATTTTTTTCCTCACACAGTTGTGTGGCTCTGCTCCTCAATTCTACAGCAATATTTTTTTAGTATTTTGCATTTATTGATCTTTTTCTAAAGCATTATATTCAGTTTTCATAAAAATATCTTTTTTTATGCACCATATTTCATCAACTTATGCAATAATGTTAAATTAAACCATGCCATTATAATTGCAAATTACAACAGGCATAAAAAAAGGTTTGGAAACATTCAAACAACTGGTGAGAGCAGAATTCTGTGTATACTAAAGGGCATTTGGTGTGCCACAGGCCTCAGTCAGTC